AGAGAGAGAGAGAGAGAGGGAGAGAGAGAGAGGGTGTTAACGTCCACTCGACACAAACTAGGTCATTTCGGGACTAACATATGGGGTCTTTAACTGTGGGAGGAAACCGTGCGTAGGGGTCTTTAGCAGGGGGAGGAAAAGAGAAGACCCGGAGAAGACGCACGAGGTTAAACAGGCGACCGCGTACTCCTTGTCACGTACGACTGGGAAATCGAAACCACGCCAGTTGACTCAATGACAGACTTTATGATACAGCGCGCACGTGCTAAACTTTCAGCCACCCACCCCTCCCGGGTCCTCCGGTTTCCCCTCAATGCAGAAGACCTCCAACGTGCAAGCGAATTATTGAAATAGAACTGAATTATATGTTAGTCCTGAAATGACCTCGTTTGTGTCGAGTGGAAATTACCCCCCCCCCCCCCTCTCTCTCTCTCTATCTCATTGATATTCCGACCATCGACATGTTTATTAACAGTTATTCCAATGTATAATTTTATTTATATCGAGTGCCTATTAACACAGGATATATTGACGGGAGTGAAGAAGCTTGATACCAGAACTTTCTCTGATAAATAAACACATCGTTATAAATATATATTTACTTTATATAATATAACCGTCAGTTATGTGCGAGAAAACACTCGGGGCTTTTTTGGTCTCTGCTCTCTTCCGCGGTTCTTAATTCTTTGAGTTATTTTAAAAGAGTATCAGAATCCAGATTGAAGTTGGTGCCAAGAACAATCGTAAATTTTCAAAGCTTGGTTCCCGTGTAAGTGGGAGAGAGAGAGAGAGAGACAGAAATGGGCTTTAACGTCCACTCGACACAAACTAGGTCATTTCGGGACTAACATATGGTTTAATTATATTTCCATAATTCGCTTGCGACTAGGGGTCTTTAAAAGTGGGAGGAAACCGGAGGACCCGGAGAAAATCCACAAGGTTGGACAGGCGACCCTACCCCTTGTCACGTAAACAGGGGGAATCGAAACCACGCCAGTTGACTAAATGACAGACTTTATGATACAACCCCCGCAATCTCTTAACAGCCTATAGTAAGTATAGCTAGCTTTTCATCAAGTAATAACTGGCATGTTCTAACCAAAAGCATAGGTATTATTTTTTACCTTAGAGATTTCAGTTATCATTTCGGTTCATTTTATTTTACAATTTTTTTTGTATTCGTCGGTTCATATATTAGATTAATAGAGATAGTGTCATGATACAAAATTCTGGTTATCACTTTTAAAACACTAGGGGTTGTAAGGGCAGATAACCTATTCTGGCACGTGTATACAGGAGATTATATACGTGGGAAAATACGCCCTATTCTGTTAATTATTGTCAATAATACAATAGGCGTGGGTGAACGGGTTTCTAATATCCTACGAGTTGATTTCTTCTGGTCGACCATGGATGTTAGACTCTGACCTACGGGTTGATGTCTCCTGACTGACCATGTGTGTTAGACTCTGTCCAACCAGTTTATATCTTCTGCCCGACCATGCGTGTTAAAATCTAACCTACCGGTTGATATTACCTGACTGACCATGGGTGCTAGACTCTGATCTACCAGTTGATAGCTTCTGACTGATCATGGGTGTTAGACTCTGACCTACCAGTAGCCTTCTCATGCCCGACCTTTCGTCCTGTATCATTGAAAAGGAGGGGGGCTGCTAGGCCAATATCAAGACTTAACCCGAGACGTCTGGTTCGTGAGCCAGCGTCATACTGACTGACTGAGTGTCGAAAAACAGTAGCTCCAGAAACATTGAAGCCGAATCCGGTCTCGCTATTATAGTTACAAATAGATTATGGAAAGAGAATATGCCGAAAATTTATGTCAATTTATGAGCCTAGATATCGGCTATATAAGTATAGTCAAACCTCGATTGTCATTACTATCGTATGTTACGATAATAGACAAAGTCTCGATTATCGAGACTTGCAATAGGCAGATTTAGCTCTTGCATAATGGCTGTTTAACTGGGCTTCATATAACAATGGGGGTTGGATGGCCGAATGGTTAGCGCGTGTGCTGTATCATAAGGTCTGTCATTGTGTCAACTGGCGTGATTTCGATTCCCCGGTTGTACGTGACAAGGAGTAGGGTCGCGTGTTTAGCCTCGTGGTTTTTTTCCGGGTCCTTCGGTTTCCTCCCACTGCTAAAGACCCCTACGTGCAAGCGAATTATTGAAATAAAATTTAACCATATGTTTGTCCCGCAATGACCTAGTTTGTTTTGAGTGGAAGTTAAACCCCATCCCCCTCTCTCTCTCTCTCTTTCTCTCTCTCGAAGCCCAATGGTTACAACTCTATATATATCCACTGTTTAATTATACAAGACAATAAAGTGAGAAGTACAACAGTTGTTTTGGTTTTTCAGATGGGATAGTTTCACTTGTTGCCAAAAGTTGATGATAAAATCACAGATTATCGTTAACTAAAGCGATCTGACACGGTCAGTTCGACTGACCCAATTGTTGTGTTGAGCGTTTCTTTTACTTCTGTTTGAATTCCAAACATTATTATCAGTTTAATTACCAGGCGAACATTTGTCTAAACATTAAACCACTTTGTTCCTGTAAGTGTGAAGATCTGAAGATCTAACATTGTTTAGTTTTTCATTCTGAGTAGTAAATTACACAAGACTTCACGATCTGACGAGTAAAGACACACAAACATTTCTAGAAAATGAAGGTTTAGTAGCGAAACGTTTAAGCAGCAAGATGCATTTCAATGTTGTATATAACGAAATCAAATGAAATGGGGTTTAACGTCCTACGTTTCTGCTCCTATGCTGGGCTAATGAGGACGGGCATACGCCATACAGTGTGCTATGAGGGAAATTTTGCCCGGGCAGCGGCACTATCGCCTACTCTTATATCGAATTCCAACTGCCAAGGGATCTTTTACGTGCATTCCAATGTATACACGGGACCTCGGTTTTCCGTCTCATCCGAAGGACTAAACAGCTGTCCTTTGTCAGGCCCTCCGTCCTGCATCACTGACAAGGGGGAACCACGCCGGAAAATCTGGATGAACTTTCTCGGCCAATGCAGGGATCGAACACCCGACCTCCAGACTAGCGAGCCAGCATCTTACCCAATTAGCCACATGATCCCCGTTGCATATAACATGTATATATTAATGTCCTTGCCAAGTAGATGGTCTGGTTATGTTTATGTTGCAATCTGATTAAAACACAGATCCTAATTCGTTTCGTTTTTTTATAGTTCAAAATTTTGTTTTATTTGTCTGTACTACACTAAGATCCGCAAGAGTTGTTATATAACCTGTGTTCTGGATGGCGTGAGGGATTAGCCAATGAAAACATATGTTACAGCGACGTCTTGGTACGGAACTTTGGGTAAACCACTAGAAACGTCAACGCTGATTGATTAATCAAATGTCTTACGTCATAGGGTCAAAGGCGGCTCTATGACCTCTGACGCGACCGTCCACTACAACCGATCACTACAACTGTAGTAGAGGCCATCAAAAGTATAAAAAACGAAACGAAATATAGATCTGTATTTGAATCAGATGGGTGGGTTATGTTTTGCGTGTAGTGTGGTTCTCCTATACATGTACTTTGTATTAAAAGGTTTAACTCGTTTCCGCAACTTTTAAATTGTTAAAAAATCTTGGGTAGTTTGAGTACGATTATAGCTATCAAGTTGTTCAGATAAACCTACATGTAACATGCAGTTTGTTGTTCTACAGGAAGCTGCCCCTGGTAATTTAAAATTCTTTTAATATTTTAATAGATTTACAAGTTATCTGAAAACCTATTCAGATAAATTTTGGCATGGAGCTTGCATAAATACAAGGTCATTTCCTCCGAGTTTTGGTGGAGTGTAAAAATAAAATGAAACACGTTTAACGTATGTTAGGTTGCCGCCATACCATCTTACATGTTTTTACCTTATAGCAATACAATGTGGCAGGTGCCGTGGAAGAGGCAGTCTATGCTAACTCTAATTAAGCGCCTAATAACTCTTGAAACATCCTTCCGAAGAACATTTCTTGTTGGGCTAAGCGGCGATAATAAATTTCATTGGTTGAGAATGTGGGACACAATAACTCTGTTTTTAATTGAGATAGATTGTTCAAACCTTGTTTTAGATGTACACTAAGCGAATACCTTGACTGAGTTGGCTGATGATCGTCTTTTGGTAAGGCTAGTCTACATATTTTGAAATACCATAACTCTACTCTTTTAATTGAGATACAATGTACAAACTTGGTGTATATATTTGTTAGGTTCATGCCTTGAATGAGTTTCATCGTTGTCTGCTATAGAACCAAACACAGCCGGTTTTGTCCGCCTCTCACACTTTTTGGAACATAATTTTATAACTGAGATAGAATCTACCTTGTTTCTCATTGGGTGAGACTTGGTGTATAGTTTAAATGTATCAATATCTTGGCAAGGTTCGATACAGAGAATTTTCTGTTCAGGTTAAATGCCCGAAGCGCCATTTCAGTGCTTTAATAATCACTTGCGAACTATTTCGTTTCTTTTTTTATAGTTCAAAATTTCGTTTTACTTATCTTTACTACGCTAGGATCTGGAAGAGTTGTTATATAACACGCGTTCCTATTGATGTGAGTTATTAGCCAATGCAACGGTCTGTTACGGCGAGATTTTAGCGTGAGTTGCATGGAACTGTGGGTAACATACATCAACGCTTATTGGTTAATCAAATGTCTAACGTCATAGGGTCAAAGGCCGCTCGTATGACCTCTGACGCCAACTCCCCCTATAACTAGTCAGATCTTCATGTAGTGTAGGCCATCGAACGTACAAAATAACGAAACGAAATATAGATCTGTATTTTAATCCGATTGCAATAAGCGGGTCTCCATTAATTTGTTGTCTGCGAAAGTCTATCGGTGGGTCTTTTGTTTTAAATCCGATTGATGAATCGATGGCGGGAGATTATATAGCTTTAGTATTTTGATTTTGTTTTCTTGAAATATCTTTGTTCTATTTTCAGGTGAAAAGGATTTTATAAATTAAACGAACTTTATCGAAATGGTTTGATAAATGAACAAGAAATCAATCTGACACAGAAACAATGACAACGACAATGAGCAATGGATTAAATATTATGAATACGAACGGAAGGGCTAAAACTACGGATGTTACTAAGTTAGCGGTCATAGGACGAGCAGCGGTTGGAAAATCAGGTAAGAATAGAATGTTTTCTAGTGTAGCTGTAGTAAGATATGAAGAATTGTATTGCATAAAAGCGCCAACGGGGAGCAGCATACAATTACATAAATCACATTAATACAACGCCAACGGGGAGCAACATACAAATCACACTAACACAGTAAAATAAATAAGCATTTGAACAACAATAAACATTGTACACGATCCCCAAACATAGCTTTATCTCTAACTCAATATCATCCAAAGTCTTCGACATTGAAAACACGAATTGTTTGTAAATTTAAATCAATATTGATGTTGTGATCTTACCGGGAAAAGATGGGCTTCTGATATATAATATTTCAGACAAAATAAACATTTTATCATTGGTACACGAATCGTGTACCATAATGTGTTTCAGCGCCATTTGTAAAAAGAGACTCGAAGAACGAGGCTAGAAATATTCCACAAGTCCTGTCATCTGGAGAGCATGGACAATAAGTACTACCGGTGTAGACTGGAATAACCAGACGCTAGAGATTGCCATTCGATTGAGACTTCTGTATTATATTTAGTATAAATTGCACTACCATCCAAATCCGTTGCTTAATAAGAGGAAGACACACCCTTCGAGGCGATAATTACATAAAATAACTAGAAACCTATCAAAGAGTACATGTCGTTTGAGGTCGGTGTTGAGATTACGTGAAACGTTGAGTAATCACATGGCGTGTATTGGTATATAGCGATAGATTATGTGAAGGCGTATATGTATAATGTATAATATTATGGGAATGATTGTGTGAAGATTAGGGATTAAAATGGTCTGATATATACATGTTATTGCTGTCAGTATATCGTAATGGCAAATAGTTGGTAACATTAGTATAAAAGAATTAAAAATAAATTATTGTGTACATAATCTAATTTTAACTAAATTGTTTCCACGTTAGAATTTGTAGACTGTTAAATAGTTTTAACCTCAAGAATTGTGAAATATATAACGTCTTTTGTAACAGATACTTAGTCTGGGCATATTTCTTGTTAGTTTGGGCATATTTCTTGTTAGTTTGGAGTCAGTACTTGTTAGTTTGGGCATATTTCTGGTTAGTTTGGAGATATTACTTTTTAGTTTGGGCATATTTCTTGTTAAATTGGACATATTTCTTGTTATTTTGGACATACATTTCATATCAGTTTCGACATATTTCCTAGTTGAAAGATATTTCCTGTTAGTTTGATACTTTTCCTATTAGTTTCTATTAGATTTCCTATAGATGGCTGTGAACGTGCTGTGTTCGTTTTCCTTTAGATGGTTGTATAAATATCAACAAATATATAATTAACAGGTAATTGTTTTAAACTGAATGATTTTCCTTAAAAAAAATACATGAATGATTTGCCTTTAATAACGAGAATAATTTCCCTTTAATAACCCAAATGATTTCTCTTTAATAAGCGAATAGTTCCCTTTTAATAACGTGAATGATTTCCATTAAATAACGTGAATGATTTCCGTTAAATAACGTGAATGATTTCCGTTAAATAACGTGAATGATTTCTCTGTAATAACGTGAATGATTCCCCTTTAATAAAGTGAATAATATCCGTTTAATAACGCGGATTGTTTCCCTTTAATAACGTGAATGATTTCTTTTTAATAACGCGGATGATTTCCCTTTAATAACGTGAATGGTTCCCCTTTAATAAAATGAATGATTTCCCTTTAATAACGTGAATGATTTCATTTTAATATCGTGAATGATTTCCGTATAATAACGAGAATGATTTCCGTTTAATAACATGAATGGGTCCCCTTTAATAACGCGAATGATTTCCCTTTAATAATGTCAATGGTTTCCCGCTAATAACGTGAATGATTTCCCTTGAATAACGCGGGTAATTTCCCTTAAATAACGTGAATAATTTGGTTTAATAACGTGAACGGTACCCGTTAATAACGTGAATGATTTCCCTTTAATAACGTGAATAATTCCGTTTAATAACGCGAACGGTACCCCGTTAATAACGTGAATGATTTCCCTTTAATAACGTGAATAATTCCGTTTAATAACGCGAACGGTACCCCGTTAATAATGTGAATAATTCCGTTTAATAACGCGAACGGTACCCCGTTAATAACGTGAATGATTTCCTTTTAATAACGTGAATGATTTCCGTTTAATAACGTGAATGATTTCCGTTAAATAACGAGAATGATTTCCCTTTAATAAGGTGAATGATTTTCCGTTAATAACGTGAATGATTTCCCTTGAATAACGCGGATGATTTCCCTTAAATAACGTGAATAATTCCGTTTAATAATGCGAACGATACCCCGTTAATAACGTGAATGATTTCTGTTTAATAACTAATAACGTGAATGGTCCCCCTTTAATAACGCGAATGATTCCCTTTAATAAGGTGAATGATTTCCCTATCATAACATGAAAAATTCCGTTTAATAACGCGACCGGTTCCAAGGCAATAACGTGAATTATAGGACCAGTGTTACACCACTCACATTTCCCCTTACTCTTCATCGAATTCAACTACACTGCTTCCTTGGCCAACACTGGGATCGACCGCTCCTTGTTTGAAATGCCGTGACAAGGAGTAGGGTCGCCTGTCAAACCTCGTGGGTTTTCTCCGGGTCCCCCGGTTTCCTCCCACTGTGTCGAGTGGACGTTAAACCCCACTCTCTCTCTCTCTCTCTCCCTCTCTCTCAGATCTCGTGTTAGTAATACAGCAGCCACCGTGGCTTCCAAATTAAATTATTTTAAACGCTGGTGTTAATTTTCTTAGTTTCAATGAGACCAACATTAAAAGACCCACACTATAAATCGTCAAATATGACAAATTTAGATATATTATTTGTGAGAAACAATCAGAATAAAAACACCTGTTCACCTGTTCATCATACTGACTTTTGTTACCTGTAAATAGACATGTTCTCATTTTCCCCGTAATCATTATAGTCCCTGTTAACCAGACTTGTCTGATTCACGCTCTCTCAACAAGAATATGGTTTTACATTCGCCGATTGACCGAGACTACTATTCCGAGCATTCGGTGTAGTATGCGCATGTGCGGCATGTCACTATTTGAAAAGTATATATATATTGATTATTTTCTGAAATATGGATTATAAAATCTCAATACAAAGCCAAGAGAGAGAGAGAGTGAGAGAGAGAGAGAGAGAGAGAGAGAGAGAGAGAGAGAGAGATGGTTCAATTTTATTTCAATGGTTAGCTTGCATATGGGTGTCTTTAGCAGTGAGTAAAACGCTGTAGCACTAACCAACAGGCCATGAGTTCGATCATGAGAGAGAGAGAGAGAGAGAGGGAGAGAGAGAGAGGCAGGTGGGGTTTGACGTTCACTCGACACAAACTAAGTCATTTCGGGGCTAACACATGGTTCAATTTTATTTCTATAATTCGCTTGCGCGTAGGAGTCTTTAGCAGTGGGAGGAAACCGGAGGACTGGGAGAAAACCCACGAGGTTGGACAGGCGACCATATATCCTTGTCATGTACAACCGGTGAATCGAAACCACGCCAGTTGACTCAATGATTGACAGACCTTATGATACAGCACGCACGTGCTAACCATTCGGCCAACCAACCCCCATTAGCCCAGTAGGAGCAGAACAGTAGGACGTTAAACCCCATTTTATTTCATTATTTCTGTTTACAGGCGCTTACTAAATTGAAAAACGTTGAATAATAAATTCTTTGTTTGAAATGTTTAAAACTGTGTTCTTCATCTCACTTAATGTACGTGATGATATACAATATCTCTTTGATAAATGTTCTCCTGGTATGTTTTGGATATCATTAGAAGAATCTAATATTAATGACACCTTCTATAATATTTGAAATCAACACAAGTTGCCATTGATTTAATCAAAGAATCATCGTCTGTCTGTATATAATCCGTTATATAATCCACATACAACACACCGAGAGCTACATTAGGATTGATCGAATTTGATAATTTTGGAACCGACATGCTTGTTCGTAAGACTAAAATTTCTGTATTTCCATCTGTTCTGTCGATGTTTTTTCAATGTTCATGTTAAACTGCAAAGCAGAAAAGTAAAACTAATGTAATGCACCCTCCCCCCCCCCCCCAAAAAAAAAACAACACAATCACAAAAAATTCCCACAACGCAACATACGAGTACCACACATCCAACAAACCATAAACACAACAGGCACATCACAAACACAATAAACCACAGCGCAATATACGAATACCACAAAGCCAACAAACACCAGAAACACAACACAAACCACAGCGCAACATACGACTACAACACACCAAACAATCCACGAACACAACTAACACAACAAACCATAACGCAACATACGAGTACCACATATCCAACAAACCACGAACACAACAGGCACATCAAACCACAACGCAACATACGAGTACCACACACCCAATAAACCACAAATCCCACTAACAAAACAAACCACAACGCAACATACAAACACAACACCACAAATGCAACACAATGTAACAAACAACACCACAAACCACAAATACAGCAACAAACCACGACCACAACATAACACAATACGAACCACAACACAACAAACCACGAACACAGCAAACGACAACATAAAATACCACAAATACAACAACAAACCACTAACACAACACAACAAATCGGAACACAACACAACACAACAAACCGCAACACAACATAACACAACCAACTTAAATACTAGAATATTAAAATACCCCATAAGAGCGGATTTCTAAGTTGTTGATAACAGCCTTTACCTGATAAATTATATTTACATAAATCTAAAATTACATGTGTCATTCGTTTAGAGTTTTTTAATTTTAATCCTGAAATTTATTGACTTACTGTCAGTCAGGGATGTATTATTGATGCAGTTCGGTGTAATAAGTCATACTTTTCTGACTTGTAAATGGGATTTCTAACCTTAAGTTGTTTTATAATATCATGCCGTCAGTCATCATCAGTCATCAGACGTATACAGATCTGTTCAGATTGTTTT